CTCTCTTAACTTCTCTCTTTTTCTCCATATACTCTTCCCTCCTTGCATCACTTCTACTTTGTAAAAACTTCTCATATGCTAACTTTTTCTCCCTTACTACTCTCTTACATCATCATTCCACCAATCGCTCCTCTTCCCTCCTGCACCCACTTTCCTGTAACCACAAACTTCTGCTGAACACTCTAACACTACATTTTTAAAACCCACCCCATACCTCTTCGACCCCATTGCCTATGCTCTCATTAGCCCATCTATCCTCCAATAGCTGTTTATATCTTACCCTAACTGCCTCCTCTTTTAGTTTATAAACCTCACCTCTCTCTTCCCTGATGCTTCTATTCTCCTTGTATCCCATCTACCTTTTACTCTCAGTGTAGCTACAACTAGAAAGTGATCTGATATATCTGTGGCCCCTCTATAAACATGTACATCTTGAAGTCTACTCAACAGTCTTTTATCTACCAATACATAATCCAACAAACTACTGTCATTTCGCCCTACATCATATCTTGTATACTTATTTATCCTCTTTTTCTTAAAATATGTATTACCTATAACTAAACCCCTTTCTATACAAAGTTCAATCAAAGGGCTCCCATTATCATTTACACCTGGCACCCCAAACTTACCTACCACACCCTCTCTAAAAGTTTCTCCTACTTTAGCATTCAGGTCCCTACCACAATTACTCTCTCACTTGGTTCAAAGGCTCCTATACATTCACTTAACATCTCCCAAAGTCTCTCTCTCTCCTCTGCATTCCTCTCTTCTCCAGGTGCATACACGCTTATTATGACCCACTTCTCGCATCCAACCTTTACTTTAATCCACATAATTCTTGAATTTACACATTCATATTCTCTTTTCTCCTTCCATAACTGATCATTTAACATTACTGCTACCCCTTCCTTTGCTCTAACTCTCTCAGATACTCCAGATTTAATCCCATTTATTTCCCCCCACTGAAACTCTCCTACCCCCTTCAGCTTTGTTTCGCTTAGGGCCAGGACATCCAACTTCTTTTCATTCATAACATCAGCAATCATCTGTTTCTTGTCATCCGCACTACATCCACGCACATTTAAGCAACCCAGTTTTATAAAGTTTTTCTTCTCTTTTTTAGTAATTGTATACAGGAGAAGGGGTTACTAGCCCATTGCTCCCGGCATTTTAGTCGCCTCATACGACACGCATGGCTTACGGAGGAAAGATTCTTTTCCACTTCCCCATGGACAATAGAAGAAATAAAAAAGAACAAGAGCTATTTAGAAAAAGGAGAAAAACCTAGATGTATGTATATATATATATATGCATGTGCGTGTCTGTGAAGTGTGACCAAAGTGTAAGTAGGAGTAGCAAGATATCCCTGTTATCTTAGCGTGTTTATGAGACAGAAAAAGAAACCAGCAATCCTACCATCATGCAAAACAGTTACAGGTTTTTGTTTCACAGTCATCTGGCAGGACGGTAGTACTTCCCTGGGTGGTTGCTGTCTACCAACCTACTACCTTATTATTATAATATTATAATATTATTATAATATAATCATAACTAAGCGCTAAACCCAAAAGGGTCGTACAGTGCTGGTCGAATTTAGAAACCCAATGCAACGCTGTATGACCCTAATGGGTTTAGCGCCTCTTTTTTGTTATAATAGTAATAATAATTTAGAAACCCCAAAACGTCACCTTTATCTGGGTTCTGGCAATGTTCCATCTGATTTTGCCATCTACGCGCGGAATGAATGTTATCATGAACACACGTAAGGAAGTTGTGAGCCCATTGGTGCTACCGGCACCAACTAACAACCAATATGTCATTAATTTAGTTCTTCAGGTTGCCATGAATATACAGCAAGTAATAATTAAACTTTCAAAATAACATATTACCGACTCTTCTAAATTTATCATTACTGAATGTGCATGACCATAATTAGTGCGCGATACTTGATAGTTACTCAGGTTCTCAGGATAGAGAAAACAGTGGTCTCTGGTTATTCTTAAAAAAACCATACCCCCGGCCGGGATTGAACCCGCGGTCATAGAGTCTCAAAACTCCAGCCCGTCGCGTTAGCCACTAGACCAGCTAGCCACAATAAGATTCATCCAACTAGGTATATTTCTACACCATAGGAAAGTTAGCACAGGCACCTCTGTGACCACAAATGCAAGTTTTTACAGACGAATCTCCAGCTAGCGTGGCCGTGACGAACTCTAGCTCAAGTCCCTTCACTGCCGTCAACATGACTCAAGAAATCGTAATGACACGATTGCAAATAAACCATGGTTTATTTGCAATCGTGTCATTACGATTTCTTGAGTCTGGTTATTCTTGTATTTATGACAAACTTGCAGACCTCTTGAGTGTGTTCCTATGTTCAGGCCCTTCCAATCTTCAGCAGACGGCTACCCTTCACTTGTTATTTCCCAGTCCTGATTCGATGTTTGCGAGAACGCTGGTAATATCGTTAGTGTCATTTGGTAACCGATATATTTTGTCAAAAGCTCAGTTTTGCTTCTGGCCATTCTCTTATTGATGTTATTTCAGTTGTGGGAAGCTTCTCGCAGGACTGTGCACTGGTTACCAGGGTCACCCGTGTCCACTCTACGAGAATTGCCAGACTCATTTATGGCAGTCTCATGGAAAGATTTGCGCGCCACTGCAAGAAATGCTAGGTCATGCAGTTAACTTACTCCACCGAATTTGAACCATTCGGTTATAATTCTTCATTTTGAAGTTGTACCTGGCCTCAGTTATTTCTTTTTTTCTCTCTCTTACTAACATTTACCTCCTCTAAAATGCAGCGTTAAATGACTTACGCGGGTTATATATATAAAATTCCCGGTGGTAGGTACCTGATAGATGAATGATGTAGTGAAATTTGTAATTGTCGTCTTGGTCTTGGGACAACAGTGTCTTTCAGATTGCTGTGCATAGTGGAAAATAATACCATGACCGTAATGCATCTGCTCCATAGTGTTATGTGAAAGATTATTTTTATTTTATTGCTGCAGAAAAAGAAGCATCCATCGTGGTCTTGCATCCTCAGCGTAAACATGCTCTATATGAGACGATATAACTCGCATTGAGACACGGAAAAATAGTTGTCGGTTTGTTTGGATGCCCACTTTCAACCAGCAAATGAACTTGCTGATAACCCCCTCAAGAAAGGTGCGATACCTCGATGCTGGTGAAGGGTTCTTCATCCGTTGAACTGAAGCTGTACTCTCTTTCCTCGGGTCAAACTTTCATTAACCCCCCTCCTCCCTTCCATTTTCCAAGAACTGTGTGACCCTTACATTCTCTTGCAGAGAGTGTACTTGCAGGGTGTGTGCTTTTAGGGGGTATACTTGTAGTGTGTGATCAATAGGGTAGCTCTTAACCCCCCCCCCACTCATTGGCAGACATTATCATAACCTTATCTTGGTTACCCTTCACAGTTACATGCCAGAAGTCATTCCTCTTAATTTTACTTATTTTTCAAATAGAGTATCCAGCGTGAGTTTTCAGATCTAGTTGGGCCAGCAGTGTGGTCTTGAAGGCCAGGTCTGATGTTGCCTTGATGAGCTGGTCTGATGTGGTCATCACCGTGTCTGGCGTGGTCTTCACAACCAGGTCTGAAAAATTAAAAGTTGTATCTCAAAGATACATTGCCTTTCCACCTCTCATTCTTCTTCTTGACACTTCTGTTAAGCTTCGACTTAAATCAGAAGTGTAAAATTGCGTTTTAATCTAGATATAACTGTACTTTTCAATTTTAAACCTTAAAATATTTAAGCAAAATCGGAATATATATATATATATATATACACTGGTCAGAGATTCATATTTTAGTAAGAAAATAGATACATGCTTTATTTTGGCATATTAATTTTAGATACTGACAAAAGTTTCTTAAAGTCAACTGTTCGATGTATGCGTCTTCTTTATAAATTTGTCGGTACTAATGACCTTGTGTGATTCACGGTTAGCTAAAGGTTTTTGGGTTAAAAAAAACCTAAGTGGAACTTTTATCAAGTCAAAGAGAAGATGGCAGTCAAGGTGTATAAATATTCATGGAGAATAGAGGTGGAAGTAGGTAGGTATGAGACAGATCCATGTGGAGATTATCATGTTCAAATAAAGACTTATTCTGCATATTTGTGTCATATGCCTGTTGGCGCAACGCCCTTCAGTTGGTGAGTTGGCAGATTAAAAGATATGCAAAGCAAAGCTTTAGCTACACATGATTCACTCACGTAAAGCTTTGCTGAATCAAGTTATTAACTTGACAAAGCTCTACTTTGAGCAGAATGCCTTTTGTAAATGGTTCTGTGAATTGTTTTTTTTTTTTTTACTGTGTAAGCCATACAAGAGCGTCGGTTGCAGCTTTGATGAGAAACATCGATACAGCCGCCATTAATCAGGCACAACACTCGAGAAAAGACGCTATGAAGGCGCAGTGTATTATAAAAAAAACTCAGTCAAACAACATTGTGTGTAGCGTCAGCGTGTACCTGAAAAGAAGTTGGTGTATGTTTAACAAGTGTAAACATACAGCCAAGGGCGAGCAGCCCTTCACAATATAGAATGAAGCTTTAGTCTTGTTAGGCCATCGCCTGTAACATTTCAGTTTTGCCTAATGAGGAAAATCGCTGATTTTGGGAATAAGTCACTGACAATATGCAACTTGTCCTCCCAGTGTCAACGTTATTTTAACTAAGTAAAGCTTCTCTCCATTATCTGTTTAACCAGTTGTATCGTAGCATAAATTAACATCATTGGATTCATCAGCTCATAAAGATCACACTAATTTGATGTGCAGTAGTTTAATGGTTATAATTAAAACCATAATTTTTGAAGGGGGCGGACCGGTAAGCCAGCGGAAGACCTCGGTCAGATGACCAAAAGCTCCATCTGCGGGTCTTCATATGATTAAAACTCGCATCAAGAAACGCTTGTCCTATTTCCTGACAAACCTTACCTACCTTTGATGTGCGAACAGAAAACGGTGAACCAAGATGACCGTAAAATCTCGAAGTTCACATTATAATGTAGCCGTCACTTTACCTATTGTCTTGAATCAGTAAAATGCCAAGTTTTGCTTAGTATAGGCCCCTCAAGAAAGGTTCCTTGACGCTGGTGAGGGGCTCTTGATCTAGGGAATTTGATCCGTGCTCCGGTTCCCTGAACCGAGCCTGAATACCTTCCATCCCCCTCCCCAGGCGCTGTATAATCCTACGGGTTTAGCTCTCCCCATAATAATAATAATAATTTGCTTAATAAATTAATATACATTTGTTTCATTAACACTGCAGCACTATGTAGCTATATATCATAGTTACTACGATACATAAAGCAATGCAAGGTATACATAATTGGTAATACAACTGGCTGTGTATTGTGCTTACCGCAACTTCATTAGGAATGCGTTATAAATTAGACACATGTGTAACACTTGGGTATCTTTAATGAGGAAACGTTTCGCCACACAGTGGCTTCATCAGTTCAATACAAAGAAGAATGGTGAAGAACAGGAGTTTGAGGTAATCAGTTCTTCAGCCTTGAGTCGATGTAATTAGCCCATCAATCTTGAAAAGAATTCTGATTACATCGACCCAAGGCTGAGGGACTGATTACCTCAAACTCCTACTGTTCTTCACCAATCTTCTTTGTATGGACTGATGAAGCCACTGTGTGGCGAACGTTTCCTCATTAAAGATACCCAAGTGTTATAAATGTGTCTAATTTATCAACTTGTCAGTTCTCTAAACCTTAATGCTAATAGAGGGCTCTTCTTCCAAGGAATTGGAGTTATCCGTCTGGTTCTTAGATCAAATCTGAGTGTCTCCCATTCCCTAGGTGCTGCTTGAGCACTAGGAGTTGAGCGTTCCCATGAATATAATATAATATTGCTACCAATATTATTATATTCATGAGCGCCCACTGAAATAAACGGCCAGCCGGTGTAGGCCTAAGACATGGTTTAGGGAGTTAGGCCTGAACGAGAAGGGTCTGTGGAGATAGGCTTAATTTAAACGAAATAATAACGTGGTGTGAGGAAGGTGGTAGTCTATGAGCTTCAAAAGTCAACGCGAAACAGGTCATTCAGCCAATGCAGCGCTGTATAGCCCTTGTGGGTTAGCGCTTCTTTTTGATTATAATAATATTCAGCCAGACAATACCTTACTAAGCAACTTGTACACCAGGTAGAGCAGTGGTTCCCAAACTGGGGGTAAATTACCCCCTGGGGGTAATTTAACCATTTTTGGGGGGTAATGGAGGGGTGACAGAAAAAAAGTTATGAATTCTGAAAATCAAGAAAACAATGCGGTACCCGGTATGAGGATTATTGTTAACTTTGTCTTAGTATATAAAGTTGTAAAGTAAACCTATTATAAGTAAGTAATAAAGTTAAACCAAATAACAATAAACATCAAAAACTAATATACAGTATTAGAAAAGAAGAAATATATAGCTAAGTGTGTGGAAACCCAAAAGTATTTTAACAAGTATGCTTCAGGACAAAAGTCACTCAGTAGCCCAGATCGACCTGTCCAGTACGCGTCACTCACTTCCTGAGGCTGCCTCTATTTCACACTGTCAGTTTATCTGTGAGCATCAGCCGAGGTAGACATAAGCTGGTATGTATATGTACTGCCCTGTGCAGTATATAGTTAGTATTTACCCACTGTTACTGTGAATTTGTAGCTATTATTAATTTTATATATAATGTATGTGTGGTTCTTACGTTTTCAATGGTTTTGCTAGGATTAGCAGAGTATGCGAGGCTGTATACGTTCACTGTAGTCTCGCGCTACACGGTGCTCTTGTGCTGACAAGCATGATACTTGCAGCCTGACAATTTTGAATGTATGCGTGTGTGCTTGCATCAGTGAACTTGTGTTAGCTGCCATGCGAGAAATTATGTACCTTGCGTTTTGCAGTGTATGCATGGATATTCTTCTTTTTCTGCAGATTGAACAAGAAAATGTCCAAAAAGCGCACCTACACTGACGCCTTTCTTCGCCATGGCTTTGTGAATTTAACTTCTGGTGGAGAGGATCGGCCACAATGTGTGGCATGTCACAAAGTGTTGACAAATGAAAGCCTCAAGCCATCAAAACTCTCAGCTCACCTCCAGAAGTGCCATCCAAATCTTCAAAATAAGGATCAGGCTTATTTTCAGCGCCAGGCTGTAGCACTGAAGAATATCCAGTTCGGCTCATCTGGAATTCAAGCCCAAAAGCTTCAAGCTGCGGTCGAAGCATCCTACTGTGTTGCATATAAAAGTGCCGAACAACAGAAATGCCAAACCATTGCAGAGAATCTGATTATGCCTTGTGCATACGAGATGGTAAGCAAGGTATGTGGGGAGGATCAAGCGAAGAAACTGAGTGTCATATCTCTATCAAACAACACCATCCGCCGACGAGTCGATGACATGGCATCAGATATCCTGCCCCAAGTTACAACAGAGATCAAGGAAAGCTCATATGGCAAATTCTCCTTGCAGTTTGATAAATCGTGTGACGTAGCCAGTTGTGCTGTTCTCCTTGGGTTCGTCCGTTACGTCCACCAGGACAAGATCAAAGAAGAGTTCCTATTATGCGAGGATCTGCTGACAACCACAAAGGGAGAAGATGTCTTCAATATCATCAACAGTTTCTTTACCAAGAATGGATTGGATTGGAACAGCGTTCAACAGGTAGGAAACGATGTTTATATAAAATCTAAATTAGTATAAATACAATGAATTACACGGCATATAGTCATATACAGTTTTATTTATTGTACAAGTAACTGTAGTGTAGCTAATATTATGTACATGATTCACACAAAAAATATCGTGCCTGTCGTACTGAAATACTCAAGTACCGAAATAATTAATTAAAACCATATAATTATAACGCAAAAGATAAGTAACAATGACTAACTGACGCAGTCTATAATAATTTTTCTTTTTATTCCAGGTCTCCGTCGATGGAGCACCGTCGATGATGGGTGGTCATCGTGGATTACGGGGCCTCATACAAGCTATCAATCAAGAAATTTCTGTAGATCACTGCATCATTCATCGGTACTCTCTTGGATCGAAAAGCCTGCCTGGTAATCTGAAGTTAGTGTTTGAAGATGTGTTGAAAATCGTCAACTTCATCAAGTCCAGAGATGTGAATTCGCGCATATTCAAGGAGCTGTGCAAGGAAATGGGAGAGCAGTATCAAGTTCTGCTCTACCACACCGATGTTCGCTGGTTGTCACGAGGCAAGGTTGTACGTCGAGTCATTGAGCTCCGAAAAGCTGTTCAGGAATTCCTGGAACAAAAAGGATCTCCTTTTGCTACCAAGTTCACCGATAAGGAGTGGCTTGCTCGACTTTGTTACTTGGCTGACATATTTGCGGAGCTGAACAGTGGTAATCTGCAACTCCAGGGCCGAAACACGACTGTCATTGATGCCCATCACACTGTGACTGCATTTCTGGGGAAACTGAGACTCTGGATTCGGCGCTTGGAGAAAGGAGTGATCGCCCAGTTTCCCACCCTAGACCAGTTTGTTGAGGAGAATAGTCATGATACTGGATCACTTCTACAGGCCATCAACAAAGAAATGAGCGACCATTTGAAGGGGCTTGAAACAAGCATGCATCACTACTTTCCAGAGAGTGACCAAGAAACAGCCACTCTTCAGTGGATCATTCATCCCTTCTCTGTACCTGTTGATGCCATTCATGATGATGATTTCCCTGCAAAGGAGGAGTGGATCACAATGCGAGCCAATGAAGCCTTGAAAATCGAATTCCAAAACCAAAATGCAGATTCCTTTTGGATTTCACGACTACCTGACTCGCCAACTCTGTCCAAGAGAGCCTTGAAGTTGTTGGTATCATTCTCAACAACGTATCTGTGCGAGAAGGGCTTCTCAACTGTGCTGGGTATGAAAACAAAAAAGAGGACTCGCTTGAATGTTGCAAACGATGCCAGGCTGGCACTTTCAACCACGAAGCCAAGAATTCCTAAACTAGCTTCAAGTATGCAACTCCATCCATCCCACTGATGTTCTTGACATCTTTGGTAATAGTCATTAGAGATGCACAATGTTCAAATACAATAAATAAAAGAAAATATCTCAAGTGTTTTAATTTAGCCATATATATCAATAATAACAACATTTTGTGAAAGGGGTAACATGCTTTATGTGGCATGTTAAATTGGGTAACAAGCTGAAAAAGTTTGGGAACCACTGAGGTAGAGGATGCGTTATTTAACGAATTGTCCTCTGCATATTTCAGCCAGAAATGGTTTGGACTATTTGCTAGCTGTTAATCTTGGTTAAGATAACGTGTAATAACCTATATTTCCGTATAATTACCCGCCAATAAGGAAATTTAAAAAAGGTTTCTTACGTCTGGTAGCGCCGAGTTATCGTAACATTTCAGACGTGAATTTTCTTAGGAAATTTCCAGAATTTGGTTGATGGGGTGATAGGCTTAGAGGATGTATGGTGTATATATAGTCAACCCCTCTGCGTAAGCAAACGTGTTTTGATTTTCACTTTGGCTAAACCAAACATAAATAACTATTACGAACATAGGTGGTAGTCAGATGGACCTGTTGCAACCTGATTGTAAGTAAATCCTCAAACTCAACTAGGCAGCGCAGGCAAAAGGCAAGCCAGGAGAAATAAATTTCTTAACCCGTGTATTCCTTCACCACATAATATATATATTCCGTATTTATACTATGTACACAGTAAATGGCAAATGACATTGTAGGAGCACGAGCCACTGTAAGCACAGTGTATTCGACTAGAGATGGCACACTCCATTTGTCAGGAAACAAAACAAGTGTTTCCTGACGAAGGTCCTAGTCATATGGCCTGCAGCAGGAGCTATTGGTCATCTGACCGAGGCCGTACGCTGGCTTACCGGTTCATCCTTTTAAAAATTATAGCTATGATTATAACCATTTCATGTTACCAGAGATGGTCGTAACCTACAAGTCCTGCTCCATGCGTTGAAGACGTAACTTTGTAGAATGCGCGGGCTTTCACGTAATTAGCTGTTGAACTACCAGTTAGCATAGCAGTGGATTATTATTATTATTATAATCAAGGGGGAAGCGCTAAACCCGGAGGATTATACAGCGCCTGGGGGGGGGATATGTGGAAGGCATTCAGGCTTAATTCGGGGAACTGGAGCACAGATCCAATTCCCTAAATCAAGAGCCCCTCACCAACATCAAGGAACCTTCCTTGAGGGGAGCATAGCAGTGGAGCCCCAGAAATGTTACACTTTTAATTGCCAGTTCACTGGTCGAAAGAGCACGCCGCAATGGATGTGCGACATACGTCGGGTCAAGTGCAATATACTTTTCGCATACCGCAATAACTAATTCTTTTATATTTTGGCTAAACCAAACCTAAATACCGTAGGTTTAGAAATTGGATTAAATCTGTGTGTAAGAAATTCACTTTCGCGTTAGAATAGGTTGGTAAAGTAGATTCCAGCAGACATGAGTCAAGGGCAACACGATATGCACAGAACATAGGAACAGGAAAAATGGACGCTGATACTTTCTCTTTCTTTACTTTTATTCATTCATGATATTCTTTCCTCTTCCCTTTTTTTTCGTCGTTTCTTTATTGTACATTTCCTTCCGGGTTTTTTTATTATAGGCTAAGCTGATAGCTTTTGTGATCAGCGATCAACTCGGCCGCCTGTCGAACAGTCGATGGTGAAGCCAGACGTGTATACTGTATAGTTAGCATGTAGACCTGTTTCAACTATTTAACGTGTTTTAAAGACTGCCAGTACAGGTAGTCTTTAAGATTTTCGGTGCCGGTTTTGGAGATTGATTTGCCTTGCCAATCACCTGATAAGTGTGACATGGGAAGCCACCGACTTTATCGTGCTCGGCTACTAAGTGTTCAGCCAGCTTGCCCAGTCTTTCTCACACCAGGATGCCCAGCTGGAGGATTATTGTGAGCACACTCCATTAATTAAAAAATAATTAAAAATATTAACCTCCGCAACGGTAAAGTTGATTTTAATGCCGGTGACCGAATACTTAAGGGTTTAAGACATTCAGGGGCTCTGAAGCCACTATCACACTGAGAAAGAAAGGTATCTCCTTCATTTAGATGAATTCTTGTTCAATAGTGTTTCAGTTTCTTTACTACCACTTCCTGCTGTGGAAATTCTAACCGAACCACTAGAGTAGCACCAAAATACGTGTACGCGCGCACGCGAGTGTGTGTGTGTGTGCGTGCGTGTGCAGAAACGGGTTGGATAAGGTGGGGATGCCAGCCAGGTATTCAGTCAGCCACGTGAGGGGTTCCATTACAGCCTGTGAGGAGGTAAACCACAACTTGAATCCCCTAGGTATGCTAACCTCGGGAGAGGAAAACTATATAGTAACGTTAGTCTTGCTCACAACTATTCCTGTTCCGCATGTATACGCGTGGAGTACACCACAAGCTTCACGTGTATGTACGTGTGGATCTTGTATTATGCCTAAATGCGATCTATTCTTACACTACGAGTGATGCTAGTGCAATTTTGAACGTTTCCAGTGAGCCCTATAAACAGAAAGTCCTATAAGTTAGGAAACTGTGTTTTGAAACAAGGCGATGCAAACTCGTCATATGGCTTCGTTTCAACCTAATTTTTGGCATCTGATGTAGGCTTTATACGGAAAGGCCTCGGGCTCAGTTTTCTAACCTCCTTTCCTCCTCCGTGGTTTCTTGCCCTTTTTGTTGTCTGTTTGCGATATTTTTTGTGAGTTTCAGCACACTAGGGATCCTTAACCTAACCTTGTCAAACCCTGTGTCAAAAAAAAAAAAAAAGCCTGTGGGGAGTGCACCAGCATATTCTTTGTCAGGAGGCAGGTGTTGGCGCACCAGTGAAAATAGGAAATAAAACTTGAGGACTTTCATGTCCTTACATACACATCTTCAGAGGATGTGTGTAAGCACATGAAAACGCTCAGGTTTTGTTTCCTATATTCACTGGTATTTTTTTCCATTTTTGCAGTCACGCTTTTCAATGTAATTTTTCCATATTATATAAATATATATTAGGTTGGTAGACAGCAACCACCCAGGGGGGTACTGCCGTCCTGCCAAGTGAGTGTGAAACGAAAGCCTGTAATTGTTTTACATGATGGTAGGATTGCTGGTGTCTTTTGTCTGTCTCATAAATATGCAAGATTACAGGTACGTCTTGCTACTTCTACTTACACTTAGGTCACACTACACATACATGTACATGTTTATTTATACACACTCATCTGAGTTTTCTTTGATTTTATTCTTAATAGTTCTTGGTCTTATTACTTTTCCTTTTATATCCATGGGGAAGTGGAATAAGACTTTCCTCTGTAAGCCATGCGTGTTGTAAAAGTCAACTAAAATGCCGGGAACAATGGGCTAGTAACCCCTTTTCCTGTAATTACTAAAAAGAATAAGAAAATTGTCAAAGTGGGAAGTCGGAATGTGCGTGGATGTTGTGCAAATAAGAAAGAGATGATTGTGGATGTCATGAATGAGAAGAAGCTGGATGTCCGGCTTTAAGTGAAACAAAGCTGAAGGGGGTGGGAGAGTTTCAGTGGAGAGGAATAAATGGGATTAGGTCAGGGGTTTCAAATAGAGTTAGAGCTAAAGAAGGAGTAGCAATAATGTTGAAGAATAAGTTTTGGCAGGAAAAGGACTACAAATGTATTAATTCAAGGATTATGTGGAGTAAAATAAAGGTTGGATGTGAAAAGTGGGTTATAGTTAGCGTATATGCACCTGGAGAAGAGAGAAGCGTAGAGGAGAGAGAGAGATTTTGGGAAATGTTGAGTGAATGCGTGGGGCGTTTTGAACCATGTGTGAGAGTAATGGTGGTTGGGGATTTCAATGCTAAAGTGGGCAAAAATGTTGTGGAGGGAGCAGTAGGTAAATTTGGGGTGCCAGGGGTAAATGAAAATGGGGAGCCTTTAATTGAGCTATGTGTAGAAAGAGGTTTGGTAATAAGTAATACATATTTTATGAAGAGGATAAATATACAAGGTATGATATAGCACGTAATGAAAGTAGTTTGTTAGATTATGTATTGGTGGATAAAAGGTTGATGGGTAGGCTCCAGGATGTACACGTCTATAGAGGGGCAACTGATATATCGGATCATTATTTAGTTGTAGCTACAGTTAAAGTAAGAGGTAGATGGGAAAAGAGGAAAATGGCAACAACAAGCAACAGGGAGGTGAAAGTGTATAAACTAAGGGAGGAGGAAGTTTGGGTGAGATATAAGCAACTGTTGGCAGAAAGGTGGGCTGGTGCAAGTATGAGTAGTGGGGGTGGGGGTGAAGAGGGTTGGAATAGTTTTAAAAATGCAGTATTAGAATGTGGGGCAGAAGTTTGTGATTATAGGAGAGTGGGTGCAGGAGGAAAGAGGAGTGATTGGTGGAATGATGAAGTAAAGGGTGTGATAAAAGAGAAAAGGTTAGCTTATGAGAGGTTTTCACAAAGCAGAAGTGTTATAAGAAGAGTAGAGTATATGGAGAGTAAA